AAAAAAAAAATCAATGCCATGAGAGAAAAATAAATATAAAAATTACAGTTAAATAATTACTTGTATTACAATAATGCAAAAAATAAAAATAAAAAAATCAATACCATGAGAGACAAATAAATACTATAAAAAGGTTAAATTAAATAATTACTTGTATAAAAAAATCAATGCCATGAGACAAATAAATATTATAAAAAGGAAAAATCAAATAATCACTTGTGTACTTGCACAATGAAAATGCAAAAAAAAAAAAAATAAATAAAAAATAAATAAATTGAAAAGAAAATTGAAAATGAGGATCGGCATTAGAAAAGAGGAATTAATTTGAATTCATCAAATGTGGGTACGTTTCTAGAATATTCTAAAAACCTGTTTCTTTTTTGTTGTTTGTGAGAGCTAATAAGTTTAGCATTTAATTCACTCAAAGAGGGGTAGGGGATTATGAAACTTGTGCATAGTTTTTTATCTGTTGTATACATGTATCTGTTGTATAGATGTATATGTATGTATATATAGTAGATTATGCTGGTCTAATCAGGTTGCACCTATACTTGCAAAATGTAGTCTCAATAATTCAGACTGTAATTGCCAACTTGTCTAGAAATACATTTTAAGGGAAAGCGATGATTTTTCAAGGGAACTAAAAAGCATATGATCTGAAAAAATAATGCCCCCATTTTTTACTGGATAAAACACCATGGACCACACTCTAAGTTGTAACTGACAGAATCACACAATATTCAACTGTGAGACACAGTGGACACAGTTACGACATGACAGGAGAGGTTGGATATTTTAATTTTTATAAAGGTAAAATAAATGCTACACAAGCCTGCAGCAACTCAGTTTGCATTTACTTCTTTCAAAAAATGAGCAGTTCAATGAAGAGACCTGGGTGCAGAGTGAATACAATCAACTATTGGCTATGATACAAAAATAGCAATATTCAGTTCTCCAAAGACAGTAAGTGAGAACTGTTGGTCTACAGAGCAGACCAGAGAGGCTCATACCCACAGTACTAATGACAAAATGAATGTGACATGCAATACATGGAGACTGCATCACCTGCCATATCGTCAAGCACTTCAGTCATATAAGAATTACAATTGTACATTTTGAGTTACCATCAAATTAACGACAAAACCTTAGTGTAATGATTTTTGTTATCAGCCAGTACGTGAATAGTGAATATTTTAGAGCAAAAGCTAAAAAAAACAGTTGCTGTAAGGTCATCCTCTACTGTAATGTGGTATGAGTACAAACATCCAGTGTTTCCAATGTACAACAGGAGGTAGAAGGAAACAAATAAGAATAAAAAGGTGAATTCTTTCCCATTACTGACAAAATAATGACGGCAACATTGCTGAGAGAAGTTGCAACTGAATAAACCCCAAAGCTTAACCTGTAAAACCACTATAGCAATGCAAAGCAGGCAAGTAGAGGAACATATACTGTAGAGTATGTGGTATTTCACAGTTAAGACTATCAGCAGACCTGGGAAGTCATTAAACATAATGCCTGTTTATACCTGGTATTTTCACGTAGTCTTTCAGCTCTGTGTCAGTAGTGTTTTTATCTGGTAGGATGCCAGATAAGCAGGGACATCAGCCGAGTAGTTGCTCATTGCATTCACAACTGTCCACTTGTGCTCAGATCACCTGAGACACGTTATTACCAGGTATAAACAGGTTCATACACTTTTATACATGTGTGCTTCATTCTAAATTGAATTCTCTTCAAAGTTGATGTAGGGTGATAAACGTTAAATACATTCAACATGTGAGTAGTGTTGAAGCCGCCCTCAGCTTGTTGTCCCAGGGAGGCTTGTGAATCCAGTACTGGAGTGCCCTCTAGTGACACATCTGTTCTAAGCTCTTTACTTGATACTAATGTCAGATAGGTATTACAAGATATAACATGAACATGTATGACACTTGAATTATTTGCAAAGCGCTGCTAAAATTAAGTTAACATGAACACGGTTTAGGTAACATGATTCATATTGTGTGGGATAAGTGACAGATCAAGTAATTCAACTCTGCTAACAGCATCACTGGAGCAGGCAATCGAGAAGGCTACTGGCAGACGTTGGCAGGATGGGGGTAAAACTCTAAGTAGTGTTGTCAAAAATATCCATTTATCGATACATATCAATTCTGAATATTCAAAACTGTGCTTATTTTGCAAGGTAGCCATAATATTGATACTACTTGTTTGCTCTCTCATCTCCTCAATCGCAAGTCGACCCACGCACACACATCACAACAGTCCCGCGCCTTTGTTCACTCACTCACAGTGCTGTGTTCTCGTCACTCTTCTCATTCACTCCGGTTGCATATGGGATTCATGGCACTGTTTTGTTTTTTACTTGCTCTTTATTGCCTTTTGAAAAGCAATCTCAGAGGCTTTTAAGCAGGTGCACCACTGCAAGAATATTGTTTTTTTTTTTATTAATGTGAAAAAGTAGTAACTGTTAATATTTACTACAGTCATACTGCTGTTCTCTGCTACCACCCAAGACAAGTCATTGTTGTCATGTTAAAGTGCTGTTATATTTATCTGTTAATAAAAGATTTATATTCTATGACAGTACTGCCAATTTTCTTCTTATGGTATCGAATATTGATATTTTCAAGGTACTGTTGAAGTTAGAAATTCCAGTATCGTGTCAACAGTAACCAAAAGTGTTTCTTTTATATGATTAGAACACCTTTTAAATTACTTGTGATGGCATAAAGTTTAGTTTTGTAGAAAAATATGACAATTCTGGTAAAATCTGGTGCAGTCTTCAAGATGCTAACAATTAATAAATTCCTAGATTTCCAGGGTTGGATTCAAAGTTATGAGAGGATGTCACGGGTGAAGATGAAAGTCCCTCTTTCCGCCTGTCTTACTGACCAGTTTTACATCCGTGATGATGATGTCATGGCTCACTGCCTTGCACATGTCATAGATGGTTAGCGCAGCGACGGATACGGCCGTCAAAGCCTCCATCTCAACTCCGGTCCTGCCTGTAGTGCGGCACGTTGCTGTAATGACTGCAGCATTCTGCAGCTCATCAAGGTCAAAGGTGACAGAGGAGTGGTCTAAGGGGAGTGGGTGGCAGAGCGGGATGAGGGCTGAGGTCTGCTTGGAAGCCATGATGCCAGATAACTGCGCCACTGCCAAGGCATCACCCTTAGCCAGCTGGTTATTCCGAAGCAGCCGGAAGGCGGTGGGGCCCAAGATGACGGTGGCACGGGCTGTGGCTGTTCGACGTGTGGGAGCTTTCCCTCCGACATCCACCATGGCGGCTCGGCCCTGGGCGTCTGTATGTGTAAGCTGGGCTTCGGTTGTTTCATTAAGGTCAGCGTTGTAGATGTTTGTGCCTGACTGTGTGTGATCCCTCACAGATTGTCTGACTTTGACACTGGGGTCTTTGCTGGAACTTTGATTGTGGCACAGTCTAACACTGCGTTGTTTAAGATTTAATTTGGCATTCATTAGTAGTGTGCAAAAAATAGGTTTTCCCGGGGTCCCGAGTATGTGGCTCTTCAAAGCATTAGGACCCCCGGCTTGTGCGTACCTGAGACAGTCTGTATTAATGTAGCTCATGACATTTGTGCGCAGAATAAAACTTGCAGTCTTAGTGTGACCACTGATGAAAGTTAGAGCATTACTAAACTCAGATGAGCGAAGGGGTGCTGCACTGTGGAGGCAGTCCATCGTATTAAGTTTCTCTTTGTTGAAATGTGACCTAACATGGGTACCCCCACTCTTTAAGGTTCTGGAGCAGCAGACACGGCCTGCTTGTGTTAAAGCAGTGCAGTCTGGAAGGCACAAAAAACCCTCTCTATTCAGGACTCTCCTGCTGCCTGAGCTACATGTGTGAGGAGCTGCTGCTGGAGAGAGGAATGTGTTGTTTGTAAGATGAGAAACAATGGGGAAAGCTCTCTGGCTGTCTTGTGACTGTGGCAGAGACAAAGGCATTTGGGATGTGGTGCCTGTTGGAAACAGAGAACACTGGTTGTCAGGGACAGCGATTCACAGAAACAGCACACATTTATATGTAGATGAACATGGGCGATATATGAAATCTATCCGATATATTCGAGTATCATCTTTTGTGTGACATGGCAGATGACCATACTGTCATATCAAAAATGTTCCTTGCACATTTTAGTGATTTATTCATACATTACAAGCAGGCTGTGTTTATGTGCAGGAGACTCACTCTCCCTCTCAGTTTCATGCACAGACACCCCAACAGTTTCACGTCAATCCCAAATGGAGGAAGATCCTGGAGTGTGTCTATCAGCTGGGAGTGGTTCGGTTTCAGGAGAGCAGACATGGAATAAACTACTATTCTGTACAAAATATGCCACAAAATCTCCCTTATTTTGCTGTGTGTCATGTACCATTGGTACTAGTCAGCCCTTGTCGGCTGTTTTTGACCGATTTGAGCTTTTAAACAGAAATTGTTCATTATTGTTTGTGTTGTTACTCAGGACACTCTGGTGTGAAATTTCAAAAATGTACATTTACTAAAATGTCACTTATGGTTGTGTTCCATCTAAATTGAAATTAGTTTACTGGAATGATCACACAGGTATGATTATTCCCATAAATAGGTTAAATTAAACAGTTATACAGTTTTACAGAAAATATAAAAATATCTTACTCGTATATCATGGCATGGCCTAAAAATATCAAGTTATTATTTATATGCCATTTAGCCCAGCACATTTCAGGCAGAAGTTTTTAACTCTCATTAGTTCAAATGTCATTGAATCTTGAAGCTGTATAATAAACTGTGAATAGATGAATGTAGAAAAGATACAGTGGTACAGCCCATGATGATCATAACACCACAAAGAAATAATGACTGAACAGTGAACAAACTGGGTGTGAGAGATTTGTACGTACAGCCATGTCACCCACCAATGAGGATCATCGGCCTGTTCTTCATCTGAGAGATACTAAACATGCCTGAGAAGACAAACAGGAAGAGATTACACTCTAGTGGAAGAAATAATCCTCAATAATCTATGAGTATATCCCACAAATGACGCACTGCATATGAACTAACACCAATGGACACATGTCTACCTGCATGTTGTTTCTTCTTCCTGCCCACAGCAGCTCCAATGATTTGCAGTAGCTCTTCATCTGATGCCCCGGAGCGCAAGACATCTCTCAGAGACACCTCAGAGCTCCCAAACAAACATACCTGAGAGAAGACAGACAGGAAGGAGTGAAGGGAAAACATTCAAAATCAAATCATGGATGGTTCTGGATGGATGAGATTATTCATAGCGCCCACACACAGTATGCAGCTACATTATCACAAAATAGACCCATTAACAGCTCCTTGACACCCAACAAAGAATCACTGTAGCTTTACCTTGAGGTTCCCATCTGCAGTGATGCGTAAGCGGTTGCAGGA